TAAAGAGGGGTTTGTTGTTATGGTTATAATTAAGGGTAATAAAGTCTTTTTATGGTCTTAAGGGTATTATAATCATTAAGTTATATTTTGTTTATCACGTGTCAATTGACCGATGAGATCTTACTTGCCGATTGCCAGATGGGGCCATCGGTAATGAAATTGTATACTTCTAGTAGTTTTTATAATTTAAGAAGGTTTGTTGTTGATTGTTCAATGGTTCTGAGAATTTTTTTCCATTTTACCCTTAATTTTAAAGAGTGTTTCAACGAGAGAAACAAATTATGGAAGCAACCGCGGAAAGGAAGATTAAAAAGTTTGTTGGTGTTATAAAGTTAAATTGCGGAATTGCGGGACCCTTTCATAGCCAAAAAGGACTACATAACCAAGAGAGTTGTAACGCTTCACTGAAAAAAAAAAAAAAAAAAATGGTTGAAAACCAAAGCTTACGAGCCCACCTAGAATACCATCTGGGCTAGCAACGGTCATATGGAGTCGAATGCTTGTTTAGATATGGTTGTAATCTTGGGCCTTTGTGTTTGGGCTATCTTGGTTTTGCGTATTTGAAATTTAATGTAAAAAAATAAAAAAATAAAAATAAAAAATAAAAAAAAAACAATGGCAATCTTTCCACTTTTTCCTAGAAAATTAAAAATAATAATAATAATAATAATAATAATAATAATAATAATAATACGTAATAAAGAGAGTTTTAATGTGAAAACAAATAATGGAAGCAAAAGTGAGGAAGGAAACTATGGAGTTTGTGGGCGTTCCTAGGATAGTTGGGAAAAGATGTACCTAGTAACGGTAGTATAAGGATCTTCCACTGCCAAAAGGCATGCAGTACGTGACCATTATATTTAGCAATAACTATTACCCATAAATTTTAATAATTATTATTATATTTAATGGTCAACTCTATAGAATTGCAAGTGTTGATTGAATAAAAAAAAGTTGATCCAAACCCCTAAATTTTTGTTTCCAAGGTTGTAACCCTAAAACCCAAAGCTCGTACGCCAAAACCCGACTTGACATTTTTTAGACTTTTATCTTATTAAGGGAAGTTATACTGACATTTCTGATATTTGAGCAAATTTTATATGGGATTGGCTGCATTTATTATTTTGACCTTCCTTAACTCATTTGATAGTTGGCAAAAAATGACTTTGAACTTAAAAAGTTAGTAATTATTTTATTATAATATATTATATTATATTTTATACAAGAAAAATGACAAAATTTTCATTTAATAAATTTTGGTCCACAAGTCTACCGAAAATAAAATGTTAGGGTTGACATTGAGAACACGTGTCAAATCACGGGAAGGCCAAAATAATAAATACAAAACAGTTTACTTGTGTATAATTTGTTCAAACTTTAGGAGATAGAAATATAATCTATCCTTTTATTGATTCTTGTTGGGCTGGATTTGAAAATTTTAACCTGAACCCATTTTCGGTTGGACTCGGGTTAGAAACATCTCACCTACTCAATTTGGGTTGCTGTTGGAATTAAAACAAATGTTTTATCAATAGAGCTGTCAAAAAATTACGGTAAAAAAAAAAAAAAAACCTTATTAGATGTTTGATGACACATTATAATAAGTATTTTTCACAATTAAATTATTTTTAAATTTATTTGGTAACTATATTTTTAAACACTTTATTATTAATTTACAATAATGTTCTTTAATACGGTGTTATCATATTTGATAATAACAATTTTATTAGAGAAGTAATATAATTGTTTTTATAAAATAAATAGGGTTAATTACAATAACACCCCCTGAGGTTTGCTATAATAACAGCCATATACAAGTTAAGCTTTTTTCAAACAATGACACCCCTTGTCAAAAATTGAATCCAAACAGCCCTTTAAAAGAGGTGAAAAGTCAAGATTGTCCTTCAATATTTTATTAAATTAAAATGTAAAATATCAAAACTCTTAAATGGCAATTATACCCTTATAACCCATAGTACAGCTCACCACACACTCTATCTCCTCTCTCCTCTCTCCTCTCACCTCATCCATCAGAAACGGGATCCCTGAAAGTCGTGATAGAGTTTCTGATTCATATAGAAGTGGTAATTCCAAAATAGAAAGAATCTAAATGAAACCTATAATCTCATCTATTTTCTCTATTTTTGGTTTAACATTCATACCCATTCCAAATTAAGGCAGTAAATCTCTAGCGAATTAAGGCAGCAAATCTCTAACGAATTAAGGCAGATTCCAAACGATTGTTCCACCAGATCATGTCATCAGTTGTACGATCCATCAACAAGCTCATACGTTTTGGGCAAGAACGACGTCGAAAGAGATCTCGGTGAATCACCGGTCATCACAGATCTGAACTTGCCGGCCGTTGATTCTACACCGACGGCGAAACCATCGCCGTCGCACCTAAACCAATTAAAGACCATTAATACATATATACATACACTGAGGCTGTGAGCCCTTTTGATCCCTCGATCGACAGGTCCAGCGGGAGGGGAATCCCATTGACCGAATCTACGCTCCGCTTCTTCAGATCGTGAAGGTTGCGATGGTGTCGGTGCCGCCTCTGCCGCGGCCACCGTTGAAGTTGTGCCCGGACGATCTTGAAGGCGTGTATATATATATATATATATATTGATTTGGGTTTTGAACTCGCTGAAGTGGTGATGGTGGTTGATGATATATATATATATACAAAATTATTGGTTTAACATTCATACCCATTTTTAACAGGTTTGATTTTTCTTTTTGGTTTGATATTTTATTTATTTATTTATTATTATTATATAAATATTATATTAGGGTTAAAAAAGTAATTTCATTATTTATATAGGTCAACACATATGTCAAAGGGTAAAAATGTCATTTTATTATGTATCAGTTGTGGCAGTGATCAATTGGGGTGTCTTTGTAAACTTTATCTAAACTAAAGGGGTGTCATTGTTTAAAAAAGGTCCAACTTGTATATAACTATCATTACAACAAACCTCAAGGGGTGTCATTGTAATTAACCCAAATAAATAAATAAATAAATTATCTAATGAAAAATAATAGGGTAAAGTACAATGACACCCCCTGAGATTTGCCGTAAAGACACCCAGATACAAGTTAGCCTTTTTTTGGACAATGACACCCCCTCAAGTTTACTTTGACAAAGACACCCCTTATTGCTCTAACATGTGATAAAATGACCTAAATGCCCTTTAACTTGTCAATTGACACTATTTTAATTATAAAATTACCAATTTACCCATTCTAAATTGTCCAAAATAACCTCTTCATCTCAACCACATACCCATAAAGCCGCCACCACCACCTCTTTTTTTATCTCTTCATTCTCTCTGTTATATATATATAAATATATTACACACATATACACATACAATTACAATTTAATCTACTCCTACACTGCCCCAAACCTTCCCCAAATTAATCACAAAAATTCTCCACAAACCAGTTTCAATGCTCAACAATCAGGGTAGCAGGGATTTTAATGGGCTTCATTCAACGAAAGTTCAGTTTAGGCTTAGGTCAGTGTGTGAAATAAGGTAGAAACCCTATATTGGTTATTCTCTCCAACCAAAATCGTCGCCACGGTCTGAACTTGGTTAGTATATTCGGACTCGCCATGAAAGCTCATAGTACTTCATAAATGGAACGGAGTGGGTTGGGATGGTGGATGGAGAGGTAGGAGTGGGATAAAGAAATAAAAGAGGAAAGCATGCCCACGTTTCCCCCACCTGTAGTTCACCGCACTGACATGGTCAAACTCTGAGGCGGAGTGACTGGCTGGATCAGTTGTGTTGAAGCGGAAGGTTCAGGTCTGTGGAGGCAAAGGCGGAAGGGGCCTTGATCAAGTTCGTGAAGGCTGAAGGGGCTTTAATTAGGTCTGCGAAAGTGGACGGGCCTAAATCAGGTCAGCGGTGGCGTTGCCACCATTGTCGAAAGCCTGCTGCCGTCATCACCACTGCTTCGAGCCACCGTCTGTAGCAAAATGTGGTTTGTGAACTACTCCGGCGAGACCCAAAAGTTTTGGTTCCACTTTTCGCTTCAGTCTGGTGAAGCGTACTGACCCGATTCAACAAACAAGTCGAATGAATCGATGATGGTAGTGGTGTTGGTGTTGGGTCCAATAAGGGCTTTACAATCGTTGTTGGCAATGGAGGTGTGGTGGGTTTGATTAGGGCTCTGCAATTGGTATCGCATGGCGGTGGTGTTGGGTTTCAATTACAATTGGTGATGATGGTGATGGGGATCGATTAGGAATTTGCAAGTGTGCGTATGCGTGTTGGGTTTAATACGCTGATGTGAGGTTTTGATTTAAGGGGAGCGGTGGTGTCTCCTGCTGTGGTGGTGATGGAAAGGGTGTGTTAGTGGTTATAGGATGAGTATAGAGGTGGTTGTCACCGGTTATGGGATGAGAATAGTGATGGCAGTGGCTATCACCGATTGTGGTATGAGTATGGTGGTGGCTGTCATCGATTATGGTGATGGTGGAGCCAGTGGCGCAGATGCCGGTGGTGAGATGAGAGCTGAGGGAGGGAGGTATTGCTTAGTTATGCATCAAGGGCAATTATGTCATTTAAGCCTTCAGATTTTTATCAATTAAATGTTGAAGGGTAATTTCATATTTTACCAACATTTTAGGGGCTGTTCGGCTGAAATTTTTGATAGGGGGTGTCATTGTTTCAAAACAGGTTAACTTGTATCTGAGATCGATTGAAGATGTTGAATTCCACCTTCTGCTTCCTTTTACTTCCACTCGGCTCCTTTATTTGATTCATTCCAGAATTGCTTCATTTCTGTTTTTATTTGCCGGCTTCATTTGCTTCTTTCTTTTTTTACTTTGCTCATTTCTTTGTTTAATTTCATAATAACTTTAATTAAATTTTTATTTGGCTGAGTTAATTTATTTTCGGGAACAAGTTATCTTGTTCGCTCACCCGACGGTGTCCTTATGTCATTGTACTTTACCCAAAATAATAATTCAACCACTGCCCAATACGCAGTTTGAAAGCTTTAAATTATAATTTGGTAAATTTAACCCAATTGTTATTCTTCCAACCCTAGTATTCTGTTCTTTTATCTTTCTATTAATTCCACTGCTGAGGCGCTAGAAGCTGCCGCCGGTAATCTGGGTCTTTACTAAATCTGTAACATCTCACTGAGTATTCGGTACATCTCTGTAACTCTTTCTATATTTCAGGTACTCTCAGTCACACACATCCTACCCCTCTCTCTCTTGGTTGTTATGATTCGCTCACAAATCTTTGTTCTCATCGAATTAACGTCCCTCCTTATATCTACAGTTGCTGCAATCTGAAAGGTTAGGCATGTCTCTCAGTCACCAGGTAATTAACTCCACCAATTCTTTTTCTTACTTTTAAATCTTTTGTTATGATTTGATGTTAGAAAAAGTTGTGAATGCATATATATTTATATATAGAGAGAGAGTAATGCTACTATGAGATCTTTGTCATCACACTTGTCATGAACTTATATTATCATGTTGTCAATGTTTGATCTCACTAAAAAAAAATTAGTTCAATATACCATGAAATAAAATTATAGTTTAAGGTTAATAGTGTAATTTGGTCAAAAGAAAGAATTTGTGAATTTTAGTACAAAATTTTAATTATATAATCTTCATACAATCCTCTTTCAAAAGGTTTTATTTGTGACTTAATATTTGTACATGATTGAGACAAAAAGATGGAGAGCTCACGGGAATGTGATAAGCCAGACGCCCTAGTAACATTACTATATATATATATATATATATATAAGATGTGAATGAAAATATGCTAGTAAGTAGTAAGTAGTTCAGTATTACTTTCTAAATTTTGCAGTTGTTCTCTAACACGATAAATTTTGTCCTTTTAATACAGGTTTACTTCTTGGGGAGGAATAATCTAAATGGCATGAGTAGAGTCAGGAGAGAGTAAGTTATTTTGTGTTCATTTTTTATTTAAACAAAGTTGAGGTTATTTTGATAAATTTATGATTAATAGAGAGATTAAGGTAAGGGATTCAAGGGAAGGTTGAGGATTCAAGTGCCCATTGGAATAAAGTGGTGTGAGTTATTTATCATGATAAAAAATAATAATGACCTTTTTTTTAACACTCAGTATAAATCCTGTATACAATTCTCATAACATGTTTATTTGTCTATCCTATAAATGAAAAACAATAAGAAATTCTAACACTGTGAAATCAAGTGTTAGAGCCAACTATCTAATTAAAAAGTATTTTAGGGTAATTAAAAAGTATTTTAGGAATATTTTAGAAAATATCCTTTTAATGCTAAATCTAGATCCCCTTTAAAAGTAAGGTAATTCAGTCATGTTCTCTTAAATTCTCAAAACTTCAGTCGCTCGAACCCGTCGCTGCCCCGATTGTGCTACCGGAGGCTTTGGGGAAGTCGGAATAGGAGAGCACTCATCTTGGGGTGGGCTTACTACTTAGATGCTCTCCATTTCTAAGTTCATAGCCTTCGCGGTAGCTTCGTCGATGTTACCTACCAAATAAAAGGCCTATTCGGGAAGACCATCTAATTCTCTGGTAAGGATCAATTGGAAAAAGGTGACTCTATATTTTTTTATGAGATTTCTTAATTGTTAATTGAATTCAATCTTAATGAGTGCGTATTAGGTACAGAAATCTCATTCTTTATCCGAAAGAATAGTTTGAAACTATATATTTTGAAATCATTATGAATATGGAATTCAAACACGACGTGCATTTCGTGTCATTTCTCGTACGCCAGGAAATTCATAGACGATAAATCTGGGAAGAGGAATTAAGAAGTTATCGAAAATCGTTTTTTTCTATAAGAATTTGGTTCAAGGGACAGGGAGAATCTCTTCATTACATGATTCCATTCTTTTATTTCAAACCTATTTGGTTATCCAAATGAACCCTTCCAATGTTTGAAATAAAAGGTGTTATATCAGAGGTATTGGTTATAGTTTATCACAATCATTTTGCAATTTGAGCCCTTGCCAACATGAATTTCAAATAACTCGTTACACCTTGTTATTTGAAATCCAAATATGTAATACTCTCACATCCATCCATTTGAAATCCTCTCAAATCCATCAAATTATATTACTTACACAATTAAACCCGAATCTCTTCTTTTGTAATCCTTTAATCCAAATGGAACTGAAAAGTCCTTCGACCACCCATTTTGACTCAAAATCAAGAAATTAATACTTTTATTTATCGAATTAAAAAGTCTATTTCACCCTCAATCTTCTTTCTAACCCCAAATATATCTTAGTTCATCTTCTCTATTCCATTCTATAAAAAAAATTAACTCTACATCTAACAACTATTAAAAGTATGCTGATTGTTTAATTTTGTATATGCATTCTTTTATGCAACAATTATTTTGGTGGTGCTTTTTTGTTTATATGTGTGTGTGTGTGCGCGCTAACTCGATGCACCATTACAATGAGATTTATTTTGTTGTGAAGTATAGATGAGTGGAATATGTGAAACGGATTTGTTGAAGAAGTATAGTGGTGGTGGGATACACAAGTATTGAAGTCTTCTTTTGCGACTGATATAACTAGGTTTATGAAGAAGTCTTATGTAAAAGACATACTTTTGAATGACCGATACAAAAAATGTATAATAATGTGTCTTTTAATTTTTTAATAGTTATTTTGTATATTATAAATTTTTTTTTTTTCCTTTCATTCTGTCTACTAGGTTCTGGAGGCTCATGGTGGGGGTTTTACGAGGAAAGTCTGTGACTTATCACAATTATCAAGACCTACGAGTCAAGATAGCGCATTGTTTCAGTCGCTAAAGCTAAAGTATACCGAGATAGCTTTAAGCACTAACATATCTCTGTAAGTAACTTATTTTTTAGCAATCTAATAGTATTTGGTAAATAGCATATATATATCCTATTTTTTTAACTTAAATTAACAGATCACGGATCCGGAACTTAGTAACCGGATGAATCAGGTTTTAAGTTTTCCCTGGGTAGTGATAAGAGATTTTTCTACTAATTTAACTGTGGTTTGCTTTTATTCAGGTAATACTATATAATCAGTCCTTTTAATATTTTAATATTGCATCAAGAATCTTTTATCTGGGTTAAGCTTTGTTTTATCCTGTGGTCAGTATATGTACGATTTGCATGCCCTTCTATCACACAGTTTCTTAGACTAGCTTGTGTGGCTTCAGTAATTGGTTTGCGAATAAATTTTTTGACCAAATTAATGGAAACTAATAGAGCGCAAATCATGATCCCGTAAATAACAAAAATACACATATCCCACATATATAATAATACATTCATACTGGATCTAGTAATGTATTTTCTAGTACACAAGTACAAATGCAAACATACACACCTATATTGTCTTATACTCTAACAAGATCATGTGTAAGGCATATTAGGAAAGAAAAGTGCATCACTGGAAGTCTTGCTTACATAGGACGTTGGGAAGAAAACTCGAACATGTGAACCCAGACCATACCAAGAAATGAATCTCGTATCACGTTTCATAATGAGAAATAGAGCAAGTAAGATCATATCTATTTTTTTAACTAATGGGCCATTAGCCCAGAGAGCAGGGTAGGGGTTCGAGCCTAGTGGGCCATGTGTGTTTTTTTGGCTCTCTTTTTTGTTCTACCTAGAGCTTGAATTGAATTACATCCATAACATAAGTTGAGGTTCAAATGGACCAATTAATCTAATTAAGTGACTCCCGCATGACCATAATGTCCAAGATTTGAAATGTATATATTTTGAAACAAGCATTATTATTTTATTGACCAATTTTTTATGCTTAGATGGCTGAAACCTTTTAAAGTTTGCCATCAATAGATGTTGAGGTTTAGATGCAAGATAACCCCTTTAACAATTTGAGGTACATCAGTTATTGGATTTTAGATTTTTCACTAGTTGGGAACATAAAATCTGGATTACTAGGTCTAATATAATAGATTTCACCATTCTTTCCCTAGAAAACCTTCCGATTCCTATTCTTAATTGATATTTGGTAACAACCGTCAATGAGATTTCTTTTGATCCTTTTGATTGCTCGTAAAATGTTGGAAAGACATAAATTAAGGTGAGAGTTTCTTGTATTGATACAGGTTGAATCAAGCTTCATATTCTGATTGTATCAGACTGATACAAACTTCATACATACTGCTGTAAAATATGAGCTTCTTGATGTTTACTTTCCAAAACTGAAGTCGGAGTTTATTTTGCTTTTATAACTACAATCCTTTGAACTCTTGAAATCTTAGCTCGATCCCAAGGCTTGGTGAACTGCGGCGGTTGACTTTTTCAGCTTAGATTGACTTTTTCAGCTGGGATTGCTTATGGTTGACCTAAGTTGAGGGCATATTTAATTTCTATTGATAGAGAGCCGAACTATACTTATTTCCCTAATAGACTTGCAATCAAATTGTATTTTATTTGTAATTGCAACAACTGGATCTTTTGGTTTGGAAAGTGCTTCGTAGCTCAAATTTATGTTTGTTTCTTAGCCATCTAGTGAGTTACTTAGATTTTTGTGTCTTTTTCTTCAAACACTTGTGTTCTCTCTTTCTCAATACTTGAAAGAATCAAGATCTGCTCATGGTTCTGTATATATATATCTTTTGTTTAGGCTCCATTTGTTTCAATGTAAAATATTTTTCGTTGTTTTGTTGCATATAAAAGTATTAAAATTATTTTTTTGAGTAAAATGTTTTTTGCCATACATCCTAAAATGACTCGTAGTCTTCACTGTTTGGGATTCCTTATTCATTTTCAACAATTTTCATGTTTATTTTATTTATTTTTTTTTTTTTTTGGCACAAGCAAACTAGTATTTGAGGTGATTAGGTTTTGATCATGATATCAGAACTGTTTGTTTGATCTATTATGTCCAGTTCAAAGTTAATTTCATTGACATTTTGGTTTGATTTGATTTGAAGAATAATTTATTTATCTTCAAAATTCTTTTAAGCCTCTTTTAACCCAAGTTTTTTCTACTGGAAATTGGGATTACATCTTATAATTCCGTGTCCAGACTTTTTGAGAAAATTTCTAACGGATGTATTTTGATTTACTTGTCTTTCTTTTCCGAGAGGGATCATTGGACTGGATGGAAGAGGCAGTGAGAGAGCAAACACAAATGTTGGAAAGGGTGCTAAGTTATCAACCAACACAATTAACAGATTGAATAATTATTTTTTTGGTGCTTTTTTGTTTATATATATGTGCTAACTCAGTGCACCAGTACAATGAGGCTTGTTTTGTTTTTTTGTAAAGTATAAATGACTGGGGGATATATTGGGTTTTTTGTGTGTGTGGGTGGTGATTCATTGTCAAGTAGTACTTAAAATCATGTTTCTTTTGCCAAAAGTGGGATACATTCTGACTTGTGGTACACCGTACGCCATTGAAATGGATTTGTTGATCAAGTATGGTTCAAAGTTCTGTTTTGATTCAAGTATGGTTCAAAGTAGAAAATACTGAGAAATAGCACGAACGATGGCATAAACAACCAGTTTATATTGATTGTAATTTGTACAATTAATTAATCACTGTATGCACACCAAAACAACAGCATACAAGGTAAAAGTGCGGGAAAGTAAAATTTTGTAAATTTTGGAGTAAGTTTTGCGGAAAGTAAATTTTGGTAAAATTCCTTCACATAGGTAGGAATCTTTACTTTTCCCAAGATTTTCAACCAAACTTTCAAAAAAAATTGAACTCGCCCTTGTCTGTCCATATGATCAGATATTGTTGCAGTACCTAATGCCTGAGCGGTTCCCTTTTCAAACTCGAAGGTGTATCCGTACTCATCCATCATGTCATCTGGAGCCTCTACATTGTTGTTCTAAAGATCAAAAGACACTTTGACTGCTTTCTTTCCATTCATCAAGTGCACGCATTTCCAACATCACGACAAGGGTTTGGTTAGGTTTTCGGAAGAGAGGAAGAATCATGTCGAGGCAACTAAGATTTTAATCGGTCATCACTTAATCTCCCACCATTTGATGAGTCAGCCACTGTAATTTCAGTCTCGGTGGCATTAGGTAAGCCGAGCGAGGTCATGCTGAATTCCATTGTAGTTAGACCCTTTTACTTCTGGTGCAATGTCTCTGCTGCATGTGAATAAGTCAGATATATTCTGTTCAAACACAAGTTTTTTTGTGGTGCAGCCAAGTCCATTTATGTATTCTCTGTCTGATTGTCACCTAGATCACGCATTGCCATCCACTTCTTCAGTTTCGGCCCGTTCCAAAGTTTTTCTATAGAATTGGATTTTCCATCTTCACCTCTCATTTTCAGCACACTCATCAAGCTCTAATAGATCAACAATTTCCATGGGATCAGCACCTTCTCATCCATATCAATATCTTCTTCATAGCCCTTATTTGGCTCATCAAGCTTCAATCCTGTAGGATCTGCAAATGCTTCTTCTTCTTTGTCTAAGTAAATGTCGATCTGCAAATGCTTCTTTTTTGTCTAAGTTAATTAATGTCTTCAAAATTCTCAGTGTTCTCAAGACCATCTTGGTTTCTGTCATCATTTTTTTTTGGAAGCTCATTGAAGACTGTATTCGTACTCGACTTCTCTCCATGAGATTCAAAGACTCCAGGAGCTCTCGGAGTGTGGCTGCTGATTGGAGACTACCAAGTGTGGTCATTGATAACAATAGTGGTACTGATTGAGCTGTGCTCTCAGTTCGTTCCTTGGTGTGCTTGCTTCCTCTGTATTGATGTATGGAGGGTGGTTGATGCCTTCGGGCTTTCTGTTTGGGCCTTAGTGCCTTGTTAGTTGTTGTTTTGCTACCTATTTGGGCAGCCTGTGTATTGTTTTCCTTTGTTTTTGAATAAATTGATTTACCCAAAAAAAAAAAAAAAAAAGAAAAAAAAGAAAAAGAAAAAAGCAGTGGGAGGATCTTCCTTACTCTTATCTTTTTTGACATAATGACCAAGATTGATTTGTTTTTTTAAGTACAATTAAGTTTTTAAAAGTTTATAAATACATGTTTTCTCACTTAGGCTCCATTCGTTAGGAATGAAGTAAATTGGATGGAAGGGAGAGAAGAAGGGAAGAATGAGACATCCCTGGGGAAGAGATTATGGACCTCTCTCGTTTTGTTCCGTTGGATGAAAGAGAAGAGAAGAACCTACAAAATTCCTTTGTTCGTTGCAAGAGAAGGGAAGGGAGAATTTAAAATTATTTTTATCATTATACCTTTCATTATTATTATTTTTTTTCCTGGTAAATAACCATCATCTTTACTACTCATTTAAACAATACCATTAATTTCATTTTAATTTATTGTTTGCTTTAATTATATATATATATATATATATATATATATATATATATAATCATATTTCATCATGAATAATAATAATATAAAAAAAAGAGTAAAGTGCACTAAACCCCCCTAAACTATGACCCGATTGCAAGAAACCTCCTTGAAGTAAGTAAAATCCCCTAAAGTATCATTTTGTTGCAAAAGTTAATAAGCTGTTAACGGAAAAAGTAAATTACTTTTTAGTCCTTGAGTTGAACGACACCGTATTTAGGTTCTATATAATTTCAACTACTGTTGTGACAAATACAATCTTAGGTCCAATAAAAAGGTGACAGCACATCAACCTTTTGTTTTCTTTTTCCATTTTTGTTCTTTCTTCTTTACTACTGCTACCCTTTTTCTTTTTCCAAGCCCAAGAGACAATCTCACATGTGCACGGAGGAAGAAGAGGAAGACGGAGACTGAGATAGAAAAAGTCAGGAAATGAAGACGACGTGGACGTCTGCGTGCTCTGAATGATGGCAAGCACAGACTATTCGGCGGTGCACTGATGCAAGAGAACTGAAACACACCGGCGACAAACTGAAACGCACTAGCGGAACAGATCCAAAAAAAAAAATTTGTAAAAAAATTAAAAACATATCCAAACCAAATTGATTGAAGAGAAAAATAAATAAATAATAAATAAATAAATAAAATCTACTTCTACCTAGTTGAGGTTTCTCAATTCTTCAATTGATGGTTTTGGGCACTTAATTTAATGCCCAAGGAGACGAATTTGACAGCGGCTGAAAATATGAAAATGGGTGAAATGTTAAGTTTGGGTTTGGGTTTGAATTTGTATTTGCATTTGCAGGGGTAGAGAGATCGCCAATTGTGGTGTTGGATTCGTGGCGGTAGTTTTTTTTTTTTTTTTTTTGTGGGTTTTGATTGTGGGTAAGGGGTCCTGTGGTGGTTGGCGGGGTGGGTATTGTGGCGGTAGTTTGGGGTTAGGATGGTGGTGGTTGGTGGCCGATGGTGGTTCTTCATAGAGAAAGGAGAGAAAAAGGCCAGAAATTGGTTATGGGTCTTATATAGTGAGGGAGGGTGCCGCCGGAGAAGGTGGCGGCGAGGACGGTGGGGTCCCCGGCCTCTTGGATCCGGCAGCTGCAGACAAATATGGGCCTCTTCATCGGAAGTGAAGCACCGGCGATATGCCCTTCAACTCCGGCAACATCGACTCCTTCTTCACCACCAAATTTTCATGAAGACCAGTATGATACGACTACAATAGCTCCTCCACACTGCTGCCATGGGCGACGATGGATGAGAGAGAAAGTAGAGAGGGAATGAAGAAGAAGAGATGGAGGGATTCCACTTCCAGCCACGTCACAGTCGTCGGGATTAAAGTCGGTGAAAAAATAGCATTTTCCATATATATATATATAGATATGTATATATCATATTTTATTCCTTAACTGTTGTAGGGTTAATTTTGTCTTTTAAAAAATTTGGACCACCCACGTGACCTGCATGCCTTCATTTCTGTCAAATATCTAATGGTAGACTTAACATTTGCAACAAATAAAATAATTTGGGGGGTTAAATGTCTTTCAAATAGTTCAGGGGGGTTTATTAAGAAAGAGAAGAAAGTTGAGGAGGGGTTTAGTGCACTTTACCCTAAAAAAAAAGTATCCCACTATCTACATACTTTGTTTATAAATATTATCCTAGTAGAGTCATATCAAACTAAAATTCTTATTTTCAGCCATTTAGGTTGTATTTAACTTACATTACATAAAATCTGAATACTCAAAATTATTTGCACCACTAGTTGTAGTCTTATAATATATGACAATACTAGTGAAGTAACTATTGTTTTTTGAACTAGATGTGAATATGGAGTTTTTTTTTTTGGTTCTAAATATGTTCTAAAAAAATATTTTATGGCATTGTATGATTTTTTATGTAGACTGTATATTTTTTTCTTCTGAATCCTCATTTTTACTAATAAGGAAATTATATAACAAACAATCCATATATATATAAGATCCAGATCTCGACCAAACAAGGATTACAAGGGTAGGTTCAAGGCAAGATAAAGGAGAAGGTATGTATATATATAACACATGAATCATACCTTGATAGGGTTGTTTTTTTTTTTTTTTTTTTTTTTTTTTTTGCTTTGCGTGAGATGAGATGTGTAGAGTTTAATTTTTTATATTTGAAAAGGATAATATTGTAATTTAATAGTTTTATAATAGCTACACTTGTTTTCTCTCCTGTCTTACGCCAAAATTTGGGTGGATGAAAATTTGTAGAGAATGAGGGATAAGACATCCCTCCTATTATCATTTCCCTCCATGTCTCCTTCCTACCGAATAAAGGAATTTTATTCCTTCCCTCCTATTTTCTTTCCACCCCTCTTTTTTCCTTCTTACCGAACAGAGCATTAGGGTTTTATGACTTTTTTCATAAAAAATTGGATTTAATTAGCCATATTTGTGAGATTTTTTTCGGTAATTTTCATTGAGATCATACACTATACACACAGAGTAAAAAATTTCCCTCCGGAGGTCAGAGTAATTTATCCTTGAAACAAAAAAGCAAGTTTCCTAAACTATGGATCCCTCGAAAACTAAGCAATTTACAAAAGAGGGAAAATCGCCTTTTCAGTCTGTGTAGCTTAGCGAAGACTGAGGAAAGTAAGATATAAAGTTGTGAAAACTTTTGCAGGAAAATAAATTTTGGAGAAAATTCATCTCATAAGAATCTTTACTTTTTTCAAAATTTTCACTCCATTTTTCAAAAAAAAAAAAAATTGAACTTCCTTTTTTTGAAAAGAAATTGGATTGTAATTAAAATAGAACTTTATTTGTAATTTGGAATAAATTAAAATTTGTTAAAGGAAATTTAAAAAAGAAAAGAATAAAAATAAAAATAAAAATTGTACCATTTTAATAAGAGAGTTAAAATCGTGAAAAAGGTAATTTTGTAAAATAGGGGGTGTTCAAGAATCATACCGAAACTGAAACAGCTTCTTT